GTTCCACATACCTAACAAATTGGGATAATTTTCAACACTAACCCCCACCTTAGCCCCTCACTATCTCTTCCTCTATGGTGGAGCCAGCGCCCCCTTCCCACTGCCTACCCCAACAATGAGGATGTGACCGAAGATGAAACTACACCCAACCCAAGGTGTCGTTTTCCTGTAGCCGCGTAGGATGAGGGCTCTATGGCGCATGAGGAGGAGAAGGCCGCCCATGTAAAGTTTACATAGTCCACTTTCCTCACATTGTTTGCATTTTGAAGCCTAAGTGTGTCTCGGATACGTGTAGATTATTGATGGCTAGGAATTAGTGCATTTTTGCAAGGGTATGAATAAGTGCATCCAGAAAGGAAAAAACGTAATGAATTGCTTTATTTTTGGTTATGTTAAATGTACTAAATTGAAATAACATGTATGTTTATTAGAGCCATATGTCTTGAGATATCGAGTGAGCTAGCCCTGGTTCAAACTCTGCTCATATTTCAATCGAGCTGGAACAGTTCTCGTGATTAGTTTTATTTCTTGAGTGATTTGGAGTCGAAATGAAATACAAGTCAAGCTCGAGAGATTGACTTGTCTCGCGGTTTCTCCTTTTCACCCAACTAAATGAAATACAAGTCAAGCTCGAGCGATTGGCGTGTCTCGCGGTTTCTTCTTTTCACCCAAGGAGATCATGCATCCATTTCATCAGAAATGAGGACGGGGCGTCGACCCGTTGGTTGTGCTGCTGGAGTTGCAGCCAGACCTCCCGGGTTCGAGCCTCGGCTCTGACTTGCGGCGCTCGCGGAGTTTCTTCTATAAAAAAAACTAACGAGGGTTAGCCTTTGGGTTTGTCTCATTTATTTTTTCATCAGAAGAGCATCTTTTTCTCAGTCCCAATCGAGTCTTTTCCTTTCCTTCCAAGCTAAGCACACACTGCCAAGCAATTTCTAAGTAGTAGACCGATTACCAAACCCAGAAACCCTTCGGGTTAAGATTCACGAAACCAGCCGGCACATCCATGCACGACTTTAAGAAAATATCTTGCCGATACTTCAACATGGACTGCTGCAAACACGATCCGCCGGTCTCCTCCTCTATTATTCCCACGAAAATCCTGCCAATGTTGGACTTGTGCACCAGCTTTTCGTTTCTTCCAGGAAAGAAAGCACCTGTGTCGCACAGCCGTTGTCGTCACAAGTTTGACACGATCGACGCCACGAGAAAAGATTGCTGAAGCTCCCACCCATGCATGCATCCATCACGCCATTGGTTCCACGTTTGGACGGACGAGAAGAACCAGAAGAAGCTGCCACGGAGAAGACAATTAATTAACCTCCGCGTCTGCGATTTAGCTAAGTGAGACGCACACGGGAATTCGGTATCGGCGTGCTGCAAATTCTCCGTGTGCGCGTACTTTACAATCTGGCATGAAACACAAGGAAACTGCCAAGAGCAAAAGCAAGCCGTTTTGGTTCCCTTTGGGCATTCCGGCCAACCCATCATCAGCTACTACCGCTTAACTAAAAGAGATACTGGAAAGTTGAGATCTTAGAGAGCCAATCTACACCTTGGGGCATGTGTCTTTTCTGGCCTAAGTGGAATACTTTCTCCATTTCATTCCCCATTCCTAGCTTTTCTTGCATCTTTAGCTTGCTTTCCACTCTCAACATTCCCATAGTGCTAACTCCACATGCCAAATTGTTTTCTATAGATCTTCCTTTTGTGCCTATGCTTGTTTTTCTAAGCTTGTGCCTTCATATGCTTTGGGAGAGCTAGAAAAAAGTTTGATCGTGACATGAGCAAAGTTGTACGCATGCACTTGGATGCCGAGTTCCTGACTATAAATACAACCTTGGAGCCTCAGGAGAAGGCCCATGAATCTGAAACATCTTGCCTCATCTCAGTGGTCTGCTCATGCCATGCTTGAGCTACCACAAAACCCTACTTGTTGTCCTTGATAGGCAGTTTGGCCACCTCTAGCATCGAAGATGAAGATTGGCAAGGGCACAGAGCTCCTGAAGAAGGTGGCTGCGACGTGCAAGAACAAGACCAGCGTGGTGGCAGCCAGGCTCCTCGTCCTCGTGTCCCTCCGCCGCCGGATGGCCACCGTCGGCGCCTTCTCCCACAGGATCCATGCGCTTGTGGCTGCCGCTGACCGGGAGAATGGTGCCAGGGTGGACTGCAACAAGGCTCTCATGGTGCGCAAGGTCCGGAAGACGCCAACGCTCCATGGTGGTGAGGTTGTTGTTAATATCTCTCATCAACTGGCACTGTTTGATCAAGGGAATGATGGTGATGGTGGCTGCACTGACTGGACACTACACCCCATCTTCAACGACGATGACAACAACTGTTGTTACACCGACGAGTGCGAGGTGGACGGCGATGAAGATGACGGTGATGTGCTACTCGATGAGTGTGATGAAGAAGTCGACGACCAACCTTCGGTCATGGATGTAATCCGGAACAACCGAGAGGCACAGGGTTTGGAGTTCAGCATTGACAACGAAATCGATCAGGCTGCTGACATGTTCATCACAAGGTTCCGGAAGCGGATGAATCAGAGCTTCTAGTGATCTTGTGAGCTCATATCTGTCTGTTTGTATGACAAAGTCTGAAGCGTACGTATACCGAGTTATCGGTTGCTAATAGAGGTACGGTAGATGGTGGGTGTGAGCTACACTTGTATACCGTATTTAGGTAGGGAGAAAAGGAGATGGACATGGGTTGTCTGCCGGAGAACAGACATTATTTTTCTAGCACACACAAATGAGTTTTCTTTGGGAAAAATATAGCAACGTATGCTACTGAAACAATGCAAGTTAAAGCAGATGTTTACCAAAACTATCAAAGTGATCCTTGCATTTGCGCCGCTATTATTATTTTTGCATATATATATATATATAAACATGTTACTATGATGTCATTTTAGATTTAAACATGGTTTCCAAAGAATACAATATATAATTTGGACCATTATTTCATCTAAATATGCCTGTACAAAATTACATATGCTACTATAATGAGAACATCCATGGAAAATAAAATAATAATCTTACTATATATTTAGGTGAGTAATCTATATTTGCTTTAGCAAATTATATCCCCCATATTTTTCTTAATATATACACTTAAATGTTGCACTGTTAATACATAATAAGACAACAAAGAAAGAAGTGCCTCAATATGTTTTTTTTTTCATTATTTGTTCGAGAAAATGCAACCAATAATTATATTACTTAAATATTGGTGGTTGATATCTTAGCGTATGTCCTTTTCACTACTACACAAAAGCCTATTCGAGGCGGGCCTGAATTAGCTTTCCATGGTGATTTTTCTACCTGCCGCTCTTGGCGGTCTCAAATAGATACCTCTTTTAGGTTGTGTGCCCAGTATCCACCTTGGTCTGAGACCTCTCTGAGACGTGTTTTTTAGCACGCCCTATTGGAAAACGTGTTCATCCATGACGTCTTCTCTATGCGGGGCAAACTCGAATGGGCTGAAATACTGGTGGAGCGAACCTTGCTCTTTGTCGTCATATCCTGGGCACACATATAACGTGAATTTGACATCATCAGACTGTTGTAGAAACAATACAAATAGTAAAGTACACCATACACGAATTTATCCAACCATACGAAGGATTACCACAATCTAGAAAGGAAGGAAAGTATTTCGTCACTATTTTTTTGGTTTACGTGTTTACGTTGTAACTTGCTTCGTCATTTCACGACCAATGAACGATGAGATGCAAAAAAGTGGGGGGAGCATGCTGTCCTTTTGTTGATGAGAAAGTACATGTCACGCTCCAATATTTCGTAACATATATGCCATACTTGTGTCCGTGACATTGTCCTATTGACCTGGCCGTCGAAACCACCTTTAATTCAGTGAACCGTAGAATGATGCTTCATTGCTGCCATGCAACACTATGCAAGATACCTGATGCAAATATAACTAGGGAAGTAGTAAAAAAATAATACTAGCTAGCTGCTAGTAGCTCAGATGCAAATATAACAGCGAACACTTCAAGTCAAAGGAACGAGCACCACTTTTGATTCCTCTAAAACTGAGACTAGCTAGCTACTAGTAGCTCCGATGTCTTTGCTCCAAACCAGCTAAGAGGGCCCCAACCCGTATTTCATGCTAATAACGGGGCTAGCCCTGCACCAATTTATTCTTGTTTTGAGAAAGGAGTGTTGCAGCATCAGTTGTTGTTTCCTGTCCACAGGCTACAAATCTTCGAAAGCACAACATGTTCCCGTTGTTGATGTGTTGTTGTCGCCACAGTGAAGCGCACAAGGAGAACGTGCCCTCGGAGACCACTCTAACTCCAATATGGTTTGAGTGACAGTCTCATGCTTGGCAAAGCGGCGCAAAAGGCACGGACCGGGTGGGCGCATGATGATTGATCATCAGGCTGCAACAGAGACCGCCCAAGTAAATTATGCAGCGACCGTGTCCTTTATGGCCTAATAACGCACATATATACATAATTTAGAGAAGACAACGGGATCCCACCATATCACTCCTCGCGCATATCACATTGCTATAGCTTTCCGTTGCTTCTTTATTTAATCGCTACCACTCTCAGCATTCTCATAATGCTCATCACTCCACCTGCATGTGCTCAATTTGTTTTCTCCAAATGCTATTTTCATTTAACACGCTTTGGAGAACGAAGAGTATGATTACGATTCACGACATTAGCAAATTATAAGCTCCACAGTTAGTTGCGTTGCTCCCGGTTTCATGGCTATAAAAACACCCTTGGGAAGCTTCAACAAGGCCATCACTCTCAAACCAGCTTGCCAAGCCTGAGGCAATCTAGCAGCTCCTCAGTTGTTGCCATTTACAAGCAGTTAGCTGCTAGCTTAGCCCCTCTCAGAAATGAAGATGAAGATTGGTAAGGCCCCAGTGCTCCTGAAGAAGGCGGCGGCTATCTGCAAAGGCAAGACTGGCGTCATCATGGCCAGGCTCCTCGACCTCGCCTCGACCCACGGCAGGATGGCCACGATCGGGGCCATCTCTCACAGGGTCCACACCCTCATTGTGGCCAGTCAGGAGAAGGGTGCCAAGGTGGACCACCACAAGACTTTGGTCCGCAAGATCGAGAGGCAGAGATGCCATGGGATGGTTGATGGTCTGTGTCACCATTTAGCACTGTTTGATCAAGATGACGGTGTTGGTGGCTGTCCTAACTGGACACTGCACCCCATCTTCAGCGACGATGACAATCGTTATTACAGTGATGAGTCCGAGGATAATGATGGAGTTGAGGCCTCGGTGATGGATGCTATGAGGAGCAATGAGGAGGCTGAGGAGCTGGCATTCAACATGGACAACGATATCGACCAGGCTGCCGAAATGTTCATCAGAAGGTTCCGTGAGCAGATGAACAAGAGCTTTTCATGAGGTTTCATTTCATGTGTACCTCCTACGAATGCTACCGCTAACAAAGTGACACTATAGCAGTGGTCCGTAGGCCCATAGATAGAGGTTGGGACGAATTGGCGCATAAACATGTGGGCATTGCCGGGATAGGAGATTTATGTAGGCGTCCTCAAGTTAGAAGTTTTGACAGATATCTAGTACATGCTAAAATGTGTATTTCTTTGTGTGTCTATTAAATGCATATTTTTGGATTGCAAATCCTTTTCTATATGGCCGATGCTAGGCGCCGGCGCACCGGCCCAACTTTCGGCCGGTCAGCGCCCGAGCGTCCGATCTGCCCCTTCATGAACGCTTCAGATTGAACAGAAGTCTGGGCCGTATCTTTTCTGTGGTCCCGCCGTTGCAGCTCAGCTCGTGGATGCAGCATGGGGCACGCTGTCGCAGCTCCACCGCCATCGCTGGTGCAACTCCCCGCCATAGCAGCTCGCCATCGCAGCTCGCCACCGTCGCCTAACGCCGGTCCTAGCAAATCGACTCTCTGGTTGCAGCTTTTCGTCCCATTGATTCATGCAAAAAAACGCATGTAGCATCTTCGTCTCACCCACCCCTCAGTCGCGGATCAAAGTTTTTCTGTTGCCGGTCGCCGGTTGAAGCTTTTTCTGTCGTCGGTCACCTAGAAGCTTTTTCTGTCGCCGATCGCTGGTTGAAGCTTTTCCCATATACGATTGAAGCTTTATTTGTCAACGGTTGCAACTTTTCTAGTAGCACGGTGTCTGGTTGAAGCTTTCTCTCTCGTCAGTTGGAGGTTTTTTCATATACGGTCGAAGCTTATCTCTTAATGGTTGCAACTTTTTTGTTTGAACAACGTCTTAAGTTTTCATATCTGGTTGAAGCTTTTTATTGTGTAAGGTTGGAGCATTTTGTGTCAACGGTTGTAGCTTTTCCCTGATTGGCAGTGTCGGTTGAAGCTTTCTCTCTCGTCAGTTGGAGCTTTTTTCATATACGGTCGAAGCTTATCTCTTAATGGTTGCAACTTTTTTGTTTGAACAGCGTCTTAAGTTTTCATATCTGGTTGAAGCTTTTTATTGTGTAAGGTTGGAGCATTTTGTGTCAACGGTTGTAGCTTTTCCCTGATTGGCAGTGTCGGTTGAAGCTTTCTCTATAGCCGGTTGAAGCTTTTCCATCTAGATGTTGAAGCTATCTTATCAGCGGTTTGCAGCACGGGGTCGTCGAGCATTGCTTCTACCACTCGCGGGCCAACGCTCGCCGCTGGTAACTGCACCCATCCATCGCCGTTGCAGCATGCATTCCGAGCGCATTGCAGCTCGTGTGTGCCCAGAGATGGGGGTTGCTTGAGAGCGGGAGGAAGGAGGAGTTGGTTATGGTTGTTTTATCAGCCTGCGGTGGCTTCCCTTGCAGAAGGCGAAGGCCGCTGTTGGTATGCAGCAACAGCAGCGAAGCGTTTATGGAGATTGAGGAGGGGGCGCAACGACAAAGCAGCGGGACATGAGAACGATAGGGAAGAAACGAGAGCTGCTCATGGATAAGAAACGAGCGGTGGGAGAACATGATAAGGTAGAGAAAGAAAAAAAGAGAAGCAAACAGGGACGTACGTACGATACAGCGGGATCGAAAGCTGCGCGTGCGGCCGGCCGATAACTCAGCCGGTCCGCCGGCAGTAAACATTTCCCTTTCTATATTGTTCGATCTAGAATTCCTCACCTACTAAAAAAAGACCACCACTGATAGGATATACTCGATCACCCTCCACCTCCAATCCCTACTTCGCTATAGCTGGCTTCCTTCAGTTGATGGTAGCACGCTATACCTACCCCTCTAGAGTTCCTCACCTCTTCACAAAAGAATAGTCTGCACCTCATTTAGCAGTCCTAATTTCGTAAGCAAAAAACAAGACAAAAGAATAGTCTGCACCTCATTTAGCTCAGCTTCTGCCGTGGCGGAATCCGAATAAAGCGGGAGTGCAGGTTGATTTTGAATTTTTGATGCAATACAAGCTTCTTTTCGTAAATGTAGTAGTGGCCAAGAAATGATTGCCATCTCATCTAGATGCAATGGCTGGAGAGGCAAACGGGTGCATCTGGTGCATGTGAATCAACCATGCTTGTATAGGTGATTAGCAACAAATATTTTCGGCGTGTATCTCAAACAGAAATCTGACGGTAAGGAGGGGTAGAGCCAGGGGTAGGCACACCTACGACCCAAGGACTCACTTCTTAATGAATTCAATGAGGAGCTAGATATGAATATTATAAGCAAAATACGTTAGGGTGTGCAAGAACCATAGTTTTAAATAGCTATAGCCCGCTATAGCCTTTTCAGCAGAGTGCCACTAAATGGTCACCTTCATAAATAGCCCGCTATAGCCTGCTTTAGTCCGCTATAGCTCCGCTATAGCTGATTTGGAGGTCCGCCCCTATTTTCCATAGCCCGCTATTTAAAACATTGGCAAGAACATACATTTTGGATAGAGCTAAATGGTTCATTTCCTTCCGAACTCCAAAACGAAATTACCTAAGCAATTTCATAGTGGACCAAAGACATCACCCCTGCCAACCATCACCATTCCAAGCACTCAAAGGTGCACACAAGTATCTACCCTCAGCTCAGTGCTCTCAACGGAGCACCAACTCCGTATATGCACGTTTCTAAAAAATCTCATTTTTTTAAGGTTACAGATAGAATATGAAGGTTCATCTGAAATATAAAGCACCCCAAACTTAATAAAAGTTACATCGAGGTCTTCAACTCCGTGATGACGTTGTGACCATTGAGTTCTATCTGCATGAGAAAAAAAGGGATGCTCCGATTTATCAGGGAGATCTATTCTACTTTTATAGGTTGATGAGCGAGCGGCAAAGAGCATGGAGGAGAGGCAAAGGTACACAGATCTCACATACAGGAACACAAAGCAGCGGAGGAAAGAAGAAGAACAACAGAGACGCGCTAGCTGTGACTTTGGGCATGAATCACATGGCCGGGCCGGAGATCGCCGAGGAAATCTGCCCACTCTCGTTGCTTTGGGCAAAACATTTTGTTAAGCCATGGATCAATGAGCTTTACAACATGATTAAAGGCAATTTGGGACCCCAATCAAAAGAGCGAATCCTAGCCCTGGGACAGACGCCCTTTGTGACCTCATTTAAATTCAATATATATACCTGGCTATAAGTTCCTTGCTTAGTTCCACTCTCAACATTCTTATAGTGCTCACTCCACATGTCGAATTCTTTTCTCCAATATATGGTAGCTGCATTCACATGCTTTATCACGCGAGGTACCAAATGTTTGATGGTGACATGAGCAAAGTTTAATTATACGGCTAGTTGCATCCCCAGCTAGCTTCCGACTACAAATACACCATTGGAGCATCAGAACAAAGCCCATGACTCGTTTCTCTCGTCTCTGGATCCCAGTAACCTACACCATTTCTTTCTTTTCAAGGCTGAGGCATCCACTACTTGCTTGCTGCCCTTCATAAGCACCTGATCAGCCAGCTCTCACCAACAAAGATGAAGATCGGAAAGACTACGGAGATCTTGAAGAAGGCGGCGGCGATGTGCAAGAGCAAGACCGCCAGCTCCTCATCCTCGCCTCGCTTCAGTGCCGCAGAATGGCCTCGGGCCCGATGGTCTCTAAGAAGATCCACACACTCACTCTGGCCGACCGGACGAGACTGGACTATCACAAGGCTTTTGCGCTCGGCACAATCGAGAAGAGACCAGTCATCGTCCATGGCGGTGACTTCGCAGCCAATCTGTCTCATCAGATGGAGGTGTTGGGACAAGATGATGGTCATGGTGGCTGGCAAGCTGACTGGTCACTACATTCCCTCTTCAACGACGACCATGTCAACTGCTGTTACAGTGGTGATCATGATGATGCGGATGTGCTAGTGGATGCGTGCGATCAAGACGACGATGATGAGTTGTCGGTCCTGGATGTGATCAGGAGCAAAAGAGAGGTTGAGGGGTTGGAGTTCAACATGGAGGAAGAGATTGACCAGGCTGCCGATATGTGTCGGTGTCAAAACCGACGGATCTCGGGTAGGGGGTCCCGATCTGTGCGTCAACGCTGATGGTAACAGGAAGCAAGGGACACAGATGTTTACCCAGGTTCGGGCCCTCTCGATGGAGGTAAAACCCTACTTCCTGCTTGATTAATATTGATGATATGGGTAGTACAAGAGTAGATCTACCACGAGATCCTAGAGGCTAAATCCTAAGAGCTAGCCTATGATGGTATGATTGTAATTGTGATCGGCCTTCTAAGGACCAACCTCTCCGGTTTATATATACACCGGAGAGGGCTAGGGTTTACATGGAGTCGGTTACAAGAAAAGAAACATAATATTCGGATCGCCAAGCTTGCCTTCCACGCAAAGGAGAGTCACATCCGGACACGGGCCGAAGTCTTGAGTCTTGTATCTTCACGCTTCAATAGTCCGGACGTTGTACACAGTCCGGCTGTCCGGATACCCCCTAATCCAGGACTCCCTCAGTAGCCCCTGAACCAGGCTTCAATGACGATGAGTCCGGCGCGCAGTATTGTCTTCGGCATTGCAAGGCGGGTTCCTTCTCCGAATACTCCAAAGTAGTCATCGAACACTCAAATCATGTCCGGATCCAAAAAATGATCTTTACACACCGCTGTAGAGAGAATGATATTTCACAAATGCAATCTGCGGACAACTTTTTCTGATGACGTGACATGTTATCATGGTCGGATCATTATTCGAACCGTTTTCCCACAACCAGCTATAATGCATATTACTAGGCGGTTTCTGTGACACTTCTTGTCAAAGCAGAGATCGTGTCCCCTTATCACGGGATTCTCATCAATACGGGTATGGGTAATCCCACCACACCATTAATCGTGGCGCTTGGGAAATAAGCGATCCCCAACGGGCAAGTGGGAAGGCGCACCGCTTTCGGCGCCTCTATAAAGGGATAAGATTTCTCCACTTTCACCCATGCCTTCTTCCTCCTTTGCCCATTCTTGCCCCCTCGAGCTCCAGCGCCCAAACCCAAGTCTTCTCCGCACAGCTAAACATGTCCGGAGCAGGAGGCAAGTGGGTGGCTTCCACCATCAAGGAGAAGCACATCACTAATCTTCGGGCGGCCGGATACTTGGCCGCGGACATAGCGCACCGGCTACCGGACGCTGGGCATGTCATTCCGACCCCAGGACCCCACGAGAGGGTCGTATTCGTCGCCCACTTCGTCCGTGGACTGGGATTTCCATTCCATCCCTTCTTCCGCGGGCTCATGTTTTACTACGGGCTAGATTTCCATGATCTAGCCCCGAACTTCGTCCTTAACATCTCGGCGTTCATCGTCGTATGCGAGGCCTTCCTCCGCATCCGACCTCACTTCGGCCTATGGTAACCTTCTGCGTGAAGCCGAAGGTTGTAAGCGGCCAACAAGCGGAGTGCGGAGGGCCCATGGTGGGCAGAATGCCTAACGTCACACGGCTCGACGGCTCCTTTGCGGAGACCGTAAAAGGGTGGCAATCGGGGTGGTTCTACATCACCGAGCCGCGCGGCGCCAACTGGGCAGCGGCCCCCGAGTTCTGATCCGGAGCCCCCATGCGGCTCACCTCCTGGGAGAAGAAGGGCCTGTCCTGGGGCGATTCCACGGAGCTGGCCGGACTCCAGACATGCATCAAAAGCATGAACGGCAAGAACATCAAGCTTGTCAACGTGATCTAGGTCATGCTCGTTCGCCGGATCCTGCCCTGTCAGAGGCGGGTGATAACCCACAAGTATAGGGGATAGTTGTAGCCTCTTTCGATAAGTAAGAGTGTCGAACCCAACGAGGAGCTAAAGGTAGAACAAATACTCTCTCAAGTCCTATCGGCCACTGATACGACTCTACGCACGCTTGACGTTCGCTTTACCGGAAACAAGTATGAAACTAGAAGTACTTTGTAGGTGTGATAGGATAGGTTTGCAAGATAATAAAGAACTAGTAAATAAAAGCTAGGGGCTGATTAGATAAAGACACAACTAAAGTAAATATAGCGAGTGTGGAAAAGTGGTGGTAGGAGTTGTGGAATTGTCCCTAGGCAACTGACTATGTTACTAGACCGGTAATCACTATTGCAATTCTATTTGAGGGAGAGGCATAAGCTAACATATCATCCCTTATTTGGAATTCTATGCACTTATGATTGGAACTCTAGCAAGCATTCGCAACTACTAAAGATTCATTAAGGTAAAACCCAACCATAGCATTAAAGTATCAAGTCCCCTTTTATCCCATACGCAAACAACCTACTTACTCGGGTCTGTGCTTCTGTCACTCACGCCACCCACCATAAGCAAATCATAAACATATTGCAAACCCTACATCGGGAATCCCTCACGCTTGCGCGACACGGAGGGCACAATAGGACAGCACCAATAATAAAACATGCAACTCAAACCAATCATAGCAATTCATCAATCACCGATAGGACAACGAAAATCTACTTAGACATCATAGGATGGCAACATATCATTGGAAAATAATATGAAGCATAAAGCACCATGTTCAAGTAGAGGGTACAGCGGGTTGCTGGAGAGTGGACCGCTAGATATAGATGAGGGAAGGTGATGGAGACGTTGGTGAAGATGATGGAGGTGTTGGTGAAGATCGCGGTGATGCTGATGGCCCCCAGCGGTGTTCCGGCGCCACCGGAAGCAAGGAGGAGAGAGCCCCCCTTCTTCTTATTCTTCCTTGGCCTTCTCCCTAGATGGGAGAAGGGTTTCCCCTCTGGTCCTTGGCTCCCATGGCGTGGGAGGGGCGAGAGCCCCTCTGAGATTGGATCTATCTCTCTGTTTCTGCGTTCTCTGATTCTACCCTTTCATCGTTTCCTTTATATCTGGAGATCCGTAACTCGGATTGGGGTGAATCTTTCGTCCAGATCTTTCTCATAAAATTATCTTTCTTGCGCCAAAAGAAGAGCATCAACTGCCTTACAGGTGGACCACGAGGGTCAGGGGCGTGCTTGGGGGGTAGGGCGCGCCCCCCTACCTCGTGACCACCTCGGACACTGTCTCGCGTTGATTTTACTTCCCAAAAATTATAAATATTCCAAAAAAAATCTTCATACGTTTTTATCCCGTTTGGACTCCGTTTGATATTGGGTTTCTGCGAAACAAAAACATGCAACAGATAGGAACTGGCACTGGGCACTGGATGTCGTGGTTCTAAGTCTGACAGTAGAATGGTTCTAAGTCCTAGCTATGGAGTACTTGTATACGCAAATGATTTACGAGTTCAAGCCCTTCTCGGAGGAAGTAACAGCCCTACGTCTCGGAGCCCGGAGGCGGTCGACTGGATTATGTGCGTATGAGTTACAGGGGTGCAAACCCTTTACACTGAGGAGGGGGGTGGCTTATATAGAGTTTGCTAGACCCCTCCGGCCCTCAGTTATACAGGGTTTAAAGTACAATAAGACAGGGGGTTACTGGTAACGCCCACATAAAGTGCCATGAAGACTATTAAAGCTACTTAATGACAGGCCGTTGCGTGTTGAGTGACTTTAGGTCTCCTCGCCGTTGAGTGGTTAGCTTCATGGTCGAGTGACTATCTTCCTCGTCGAGTGTCCTTGAGTTCGTCGAGTGGAGTCCTTCTTGGTCGACTGGAAGGTAGCTTCTTCTAAAGATGTCCTTGGGTAGGGTATTTTAGATAGGTTCATGACCCTACCCTAGGTACATGACTTCATCATTAGCCCCCAAATGGATCGAGGTTTGAGTGAGGAAGGAGTTGATAATTTTTCCGACCTATTTCCCGTGTTCTGAATATGTCATATTCTGGATCAATGACCTTTTTAGCGATGGCATCAACTTTCTTTCAGTCGCCTTGATCCATTCTTTTCCTCTGTCGAGTGAACTTTTGAACCTGCTGAACTTCCGAGCGACGGATCGCAGGAAACCTACCGTCTGACAGGTTGATCTGCTGTTAGCGGATTTTGCGGGATCCAAATTTTGGGAAGCGCGCGAAGCGGGGTGGACCGCGGTACTCAGATGGGATAAGGCGTAGACGCCTCGATTTCTGTGCCACCTTTTTCGCAACGTATCACACGCGCGTGATTGTTTCGGGATTTGATAGGTCCGCCCGGGCCTACTTGTCAGCCACTCGGAAGCGTCCCTATATAATGTGCCGGGCGAGGGTTTTTGAACAATGCCTCTCCATTCCCCTTTCTGCCTTCTCCACCTCCGCCTGCCGCTCCCGCTTTTGCCTCTGCCCATCCACTCCTCATGCGCTTCACCGGCGACGATGGTGAAGGAGAAGACGACGGCCTTGAAGCGAGCGAAGAAGGCGACGGCGACGGCGAAGGCGAAGGGAAGAGCAACTAGTCGGGGTGGATCTTCGTCGAGGTCTCGTCTGCCACAAGGTTGGGTCCAAGGGGATTGGATCCGCTCGACCATCACCCAGGCGGATCTCAACGACCTGGCCAATGAGGGACTAATCCCTCACGGGTCAGCAAGGCTTCCGGGGACCGAGTGGCAACCACAGCCACTGGAGGGTGAGTGCGTTCTCCTTGCCACTCATGTAGATCGTGGATTCTCCTTGCCGCCGAGTCTTTTCTTCCGAGGGTTTCTGAACTTCTTTGGGGCGCAACTCCACCATTTCACTCCCAATTCCATCGCCTACCTTGCCGCCTTTGTGTCTCTGTGCGAAAACTTCCTGGGTTGTCGACCGCATTGGGGTCTCTTTAAGCACATATTCACTTGTCGCTCTCAGACGGTGAAAAAGGCGAGTCCGGATGATGATAGGACTAAAGTAATCCAGATGTGCGGGGGTCTTGGAATCCAAGTGAGGAGTAAGAGCGCTTTTCCGGCCATGACCCTTCCTGAGTCGGTTAGAGGGTGGCAGTCGACCTGGTTCTACTGCCAAGACGAGTCGACGCCGGGGCAGTCGACTGGTCTCCCTCCGTTCTCCATGGACCGAGTGAACAAGCCGTCTTCTCTGAAGGTGCTCCCGGAGGAGAAGGCTCAGGTAAAAATGTTGATGGAGCGTGTAGTCCAG